CCTCTTGTGACTCCATTGGCCCCTGGTCTGCTGACCCCAGCAAAGTGGCCGGGTGGGTATCTGTGGGTGTGGGCACCTGTGTTCTGCGGAAGCGGCTGGGAGTGGGCAGCAGATGGTGTGTGAATTCGCCCCTCCGCCCAATGCGCTGGTGCTGGTTGCCATGGGAGAGCAGATGGCTGGGCTGCTTTGGGCTGGGGAGGCCTTCTGACCACACCCTCATCCCTGCCCACCCAGCCAGTCAGCGGAGAGCTGGGCAGCCCCTAGCTGTGGAGCTGCGGAGCTTCCTCTCTGAGGATGAGGACAGAACTTGCCCCCTTGCCCCTCCTTCTCGCTCCCTCTTTTCCCCCTCCCCCAGGCAGTGCTGAGGGGCTGCCTCTGCCATAGGGTGCCGATGCAGGAGGGGGACATGGGGGTCAGCAGGGGGCAGAGCGCACATGGCCCCTCCTCCCTGCACACAGGAGTGCCCCTGGTCCAGGAGGACCTGTCTGGGAGGGCCCTGTGCTGGTGCCTGCCCCCACCTGCCAGGCCCCAGGAGGCCCGGCAGGAGGGGAGAGCTGAGAGAGGAGGGTGCAGAAGAGGAAGGGGTCGCTGGGGTGGGCGGAGAGCCTCTGAACAGTGCCCGGGGGCTGCCTTGCTGGCCCACTCCAGCCTCGGACCACTGTGAGCAGAGCCCCTCTCTGAAGCAGGCATCTCCAGCAGGGGCCTCTGCTACTTGTTAATTTCCAGATACTTGAGAAAGTTGTGCTGCCTTTTCCAGTGCTGTTCCTGACAGGCCTGACATGGAGGCACAGGGCTGGGTTTCCTGGGATGCGGACAGGATTTGGAGTGCAGGGAGGCCCCACCCCACCCCTGTGCTGTGTCCCCTGCCTGGCAGCTCTGCCCACACACCTTGGGTCTGTCCCTGACCCCGGGTTTCTGGAGACTGGCTGTGGGCATGCCAGAGGGGATGACCACTGGAGGGATTTGGCCTCAAGCCATAGGGCCCGCCCACCTTCCCACAGTCGGAGCAGCTACTGTAATGACAAACGCTGTCCTGCGGTTACTCCACCCTCGAGAGCAGGGGAGGATGGGAAAACCCTTTATCGCGACAGCTCCGGCTTGAGTCCTGAGGGCAGTCTCTGCTGTCTGGGGTCTTGTGGGGTGCTTTCCTGTGGGGACACACCTGGGTTATGAGGTAGGGAGGGGTGAGCTCTGCTGGCCGTGGGAGCTGCCTGGTGCATTGCCCCTCACTCTGCCTCTGGGTCGCCATTGTTCCATCCTGGTCCTCGGGCAGCAGTGAGGAAGGACTGGTGTTAGGGGTGTGGGATGTCCAGTCTGTATGTGACAGCAGGCTCACCTCTGTGCCATCCACAAGGGTCCCATGCCCTCATCTGGGTTTTGTTATTTTGGGGTTTTTTTTAGAGATGGAGTCTTGCTCAGTTGCCCAGGCTGGAGTGCGGTGGAATGATCTCGGCTCACTGCCACCTCCGCCTCCTGGGTTCAAGCAGTTCTCCTGCCTCAGCCTCCTGAGTAGCTGGGACTACAGGCGCCCACTACTATGCTCAGCTAATTTTGTATTTTTAGTAGAGATGGGATTTCACCATGTTGGCCAGGCTGGTCTTAAACTCCTGACCTCAAGTGATCCACCTGCCTCGGCCTCCCAAAGTGCTGGGATTACAGGTTTGAGCCACCTTGCCCGGCCTCGCCTGGGTTTCGAGCTTGCCTCTGTGAGAGTCCAGCCTAGGGAGATGGCGTCAGCTCTCATTGGCCCTCCAGAGACATCATTTCTTCCTGTCCCTGGGGCTGGCAGTACTCACCTCCGGCCTCAGGAAATCCTCTCCTGCTCCTAATCCCAGAGCTGGCCATCAGCTGGGCGGTCCAGCCCACCCTCACCGCTGCCGGGAGGCTGAGGCTTCAGGAGGGGAAGGGGCTATGTACCTTTACACTGTGCAGGCTAGTTTTAGCCTGCTCTTTTCACTTTACTTTGTTGTAGCATTTTCTTGCGTTATTTCAGTCTTTGGAAGAGGCCATGTAATAGCTGCAAGCTATTCTGTTGAGGGGGTGTCGTGTCCCACCAGTCCTCTAGAGTTGGTATTGATACTACGCTCCATGATTTACTGTCATAAATGCTGCAGTGGACACTGGTGAGCATCAAGCAGGGGAGGAGGGTGCTTAGGTCTCAGCTACCTGTTCGTTTGCAGTAATGATGTATTACAGGGGTCCTTGGCTTTCTGAGCCTGGAGTTCTGCTATCCCTGTCCCTAGATTCCCTTCCTGCTGCAGGGTGGGCTGAGGTCTAGCAGCCCCATTTCTTCCCTGGCCCTGTCCCTTCTGTGCCCTAAAGTGTGTGGGATAGGGCAGTGGTTGGTAAACTGGGTCTTGGTTTCTTCATGTGAAAAATGGGGCTAGGCCAGGCGCGGGGGCTCACACCTGTAATCCCAGCACTTTGGGAGGCCGAGGCAGGTGGATCATCAGAGGTCAGGAGTTTGAGACCAGCTTGACCTATATGGTGAAACCCCATCTCTACTAAAAATTTACAAAAATTAGCCAGGCTTGGTGTCGTGCACCTGTAGTCCCAGCTACTTGGGAAGCTGGGGCAGGAGAATGGCTTGAACTCAGGAGGTTGCAGTGAGCCGAGATAGCACCACTGCATTCCAGCCTGGGTGACAGAGCGAGACTCTGTCTCAAAAACAAAACAAAAAATGGGGCTCATGGTGAAGCCTGTTTTGCCGGATTGCTGTGTGCACAAAATAAGCACATGGTCCTAGGGCCCTTGGCACTGGCCTGGCACCAAGGCTGTGCTGGGTACATGGGACTGCATCCCAGTCCTTGGCAGCAGAGGTCCAAGAGGCTGGACTGGGGGTGGGGTGAGTTTCTACCCCATATACCCCAGCCAGAGCCTGCCCAGTGGGTGCTCCTCCCCCACCTACCAGCCTTCGGGGGCATCCTCCCCCACCCCCCGGCTACATCCCCATCCACACAGTGGGGCTTAGCTCCTGGGGCCTTGTTTCCAAAGCGGAAATGCCATTCTGGGAGGCACAGGCTTGGGGGGAGGGAATTTAAGTGGAAAAGGAGCAAATTTTTGAAATGCCTGTGTTGGAGCCTGTTCCCCTTGCTGCCTCCCGCTCACACCAGCAGCCCCACCCCCAGCACTGCTCTAATCCCGCTCCTGGGGGAGGAGGGTCTCATCCTAGCCATCCACCTCCTCCCTGCACCCCGCTCCTTGGCCAGCTAGGATGGAGCGGGGGCCAGCTCCCTTGAGGGCCAGGCCTTATGTGTCCCTGCTCATCTCTACAGGTACTGCTGCCTGGAGCCCTGCCTGTGGGCACTGCCTGCCCATGAGGCCTGGTTCCCTCCCCTCCCCACAGAAGTGGAGGCCCAGGGATAACCCGAGGCTCCTGAGAGTCCTGCTGGTTCAGACCTGCTCCCTGGGAAGCTGGTGTGCCAGCCAGGCTGAGGAGTGGGTGGCTGTACAGGGTCAGGGTGCAGGAGGGGCCGGGCACAGCTCTTGGGAACAAGCAGGAGGAGATGCCCCAGGCAGCCTCCCTGACAGCTGGCTCCTCTTCTGAGGCAGGGTGGGCTGTGCTGGGGAGACAGGGTGTTGGCTAGCTGTCCTCTTCCTCCTGAGGACTCTGGGTCACACTGTGTCCCATCCCATTGCACCTTCCTCACCCGCCGTGCTGAGAGTCCTGGCCAGTGGTTCCCAAGCCAAATATTGAGGAAATGCAGACTTCCAGTTTTTAGGAGGGGTGGGACTCGGGAGTCTGTTTTTTAACAAGCTCCCCAGAGGACCTGGGCTGTTTTAGCCCCTTCCTTTTCAGATGAGAAAGGAGCCCAGAGAGGGCAGAGGGTCTGCCAAGGCAGCACATCTGGCCAGGTGCTGCGTCGGCATTGGCTGAGCCCTGGGTGTCAGGCAGAGGGGCAGCTGCAGGCCCACCTGGGCTTGTGTCTTTCATAGGCCATGTTTGAGAATTCTCTGCTGCGTGAAGCCAGGTCTACCCCGCCGCTGCCCTGCTACCGGAGCTGCCTGATGGCATCCCCTTGCTCAGCCAGTGGCCCAGGATTGTTGACTGAGGGTCCTGTCTAGTCTGGAGTAGGCTTGGTCCTATGATCTCCCTGCAGACTGTGCATCCCTGGCCTGGCCCAGGGTCTCTGGCACCTGGTTCTGCTGCATGGAGTGACAGTCACTGCCCTGCAGCCGAGCAAGGGGCGACTCAGAAGAGCCAAGGTTGTCTCCACTTGGGTTCCTTCTGTCTTCCTCATTCCCGGAATGCCACCTTCCTACCCCATGTCGCTGAAGCATGCGAGTTGGAGCAGGACTCAGGAGGGTACTGGGCCCAGGTTTTAGGCTGAGCCCAGGAATGAGTTAATGAGTGGAGGCAGATCAGCTGCAGGACCAGCCCGAGTCCCCAGATGTCGGCACAATGCAAGGAAAGGTCGGTGCTGCAGGTGAAAAGCGCTGGGTTGAGAGCTCGCCAGCCTCCCTGCTGGAGGCTTCATTTCCTGGGTCCTTCCTTACGCGGTGGGTCCACAGCCGGAGCTGTGGTGGTGGTGGTGATTCTTTTCCTGCACACTGGGGCACGTCCCCTCCCCTTTCTCTCTAGATTCAGATCTGAGTCCCACGGCCCATGGACACGCGATGAATGCTGAGGGGTTGGTTAGCGGGCAAGACAGAAGGCTTGAGGCCGCGTCTCGGCTCTGGAGGAGGGCAATCCAGGCAGCCTTCCCAGAAGTGGAGGCATTTGCGTAGACCTTTGGTGAGTTCTCGCCCGGGTGGAAGGCGGGGACGTACGTTTGTTGGCAAAGCGGTGTCCTGCGCCCTAGGCTGGAAGCCCGGCTTGGGGCAGGGGCCTGGAGGGTGGGAAGTGGGGGGCGGGGCGGGGCGGGGCGGGGGGCGGCCCTACTGGGCGGGCCTTTGCCCGCGCGTCTGCGCCCCCGACAGGCGGCTCATTTGCATGGGGAGCTGCGGCGGCCAATGGCCGCGTGCGGCCGGGCATGCTGGGATCGGGCTGGGCCGGCTGGGCCGCGGCGGCGGGCGGAGCGCGGCTGGATCGGTTCTGGGCAGCCGAGGCGGCAGCTGCGTGGCGGTACTGGGGCGGCTGCGGCGCGCTCGGAGCCCCGAGGGCACGCGGCCCGGGCAGCTCCGTGTGCGCCCTCTGGGGAGCTGGGGTTCTAGGCCCACCGGTCACCATGAACCATCTGGTGAGGGCGCCAGGCGGGGCGGGGCCGCGTTCCGGCTTCGAGGCGGCCGGCTCCCGGGCGGGCGCGGGCGGGAAGGGGTTAAGCCAGCGGCATTTCCTGCCGGACCTGCGGAGCCTGGGAACTGCCGGCCGGGGTCCGCTGCCCCGGGACCTCCTTCCGCCCTGGCCGGGAAGGCGAGAGGCAGGAACCACGGGGGCTCCGGAGCCTGCGCACCTCGGGGGTGTTGGGGCCGGAGGCAGGCTGGAGGGTTCCTAGGTCTGGAAAGCAGCTGGCGGGGCCCGCGCTCCCCTGTCGGCTGGCGCCGGCTGTGTCACTTTGGGCCTCTGCGCCCTGCCCCCGAGCCTCAGTTTCCTCGTCTGCGAGGAGGGGCCGGTGAGCCTCGGGCGGGTGGTCCGTCTGGTGTGGCGTGGGTATTGCCCACCACTCCCGGAGAGGGAGGAGCTCCGGGGAACCGAGGCCGGGCGGGCCAGTGCGTGGCGCCGGCGGGGAAGGCTCGGCCGGAGCACACGGGTTCGGTTAATGATTCACTCCGGCCGCCGGCGCCGGGTTCCGGGAGCGGAGCGGGGGTGGGGGTGGGCGCGCCGCGGGCTTGCCTCCCCACCCGCCGCGCGCCGGTGGAAGCCGGGTCCTGGCCACGGGAGTCCCTGCCGCACGCGAGAGTCGTGGGAGGGGGCCAGGGCCGGGTTCTGCAGTGTGGCTTTGGAGTCCATGGTTGAGGGACCCGCAGAGTTAGAGCAGGGGTGGGGCTGCAGCTCGAGCGTCCAAGAGGCTGATCGGAGGGCCAAGGTGAGGGAGATGGGAAAGCTGAGATTTGCCGAGGAGTGCGGGGCGACGGGCTTACGGCCTTAGGGCCTGGAAGATGTTAGAATTTCGAATTCCAGACCGGGGACAGCAGCTCCTTTTTCCACCACAAGGCTCCCATTCCCTCCTGAGAACCCCTGGTTTCCTTTCCCCCACCTCTCCCCAGCCCTGCCGCGGCTTTGGTCACCGTCGCAGAATGACCATGGGTTGATAACTTTTTTGCTGGATTGGGCCAGGTGAGACATTTCCCATCGCCCTGGGCCGGGTGAAGCCCCGTCTTGTGCCCATTCCTTTCCCTCGGTGGAGAGTTGGGTGGTGGGGACTGGCTAACCTGTGAGAGCAGGTGTTGGGGTGCCTGGAGAATCCGGGCCCAGGTATGGGGCTGGGGTGGTGCTGTGGTTAAAGAAGCTTGGGGGAGGAGCTGCTGACACTTCCTCCTGGCACTGCTTGCCAGGGAGCTGGGTGGAGGCAGGGCTGGGCAGTCCCAGGTTCTGCCAGTAAAGTCACCTTGGGCTGGGGCAGGAGGCAGTAACGGACCCTGGCCATTACTGTTTGAGCAGGAGGTTGAGCACTGTGGGCTGTTACCATGGCCCCAGGTGTGAAGGAGGGATGGAAATAAGGACAGTGCCACTAGGGCCTCCTGTCTGTGCAGGAAGGGCCCTGAGACAGCTCCTCAAGCGCCTCCCCCATTATACAGATGGTGCAGATGGGGACACTGAGGTACAGAGAGGCAGTCAGTTCACCTCAGAACTGGATCCAGAACCTCGTCTTTTGTCATGGCCCCCAGTGCAGCACCACATGTGGCCTCCGAATTCCTAGTCTGAGACTGGGGCTGCCCTAGTCCTTGGAGACCACCATGCTCTTTTGGGGCTATCACCTTGGTAGGAACCCTCTGGTTTCAAGGCTGTGCCTTTGTTGCCCTCTCCTGGCATCTACTGTCCCTTTAGGAGGTTCCACCACCCTTTTCTCCTGAGCCTAGACAACTCCCTCTCTTGCCCCCAGAAGCCCATAGCCAGCTGAAGCAGCTAGAACCAACCAGCAGGGGAGGTGCATGCGCTCCAGGGGAACTTCTTGGAGGAGGCAGTGTTGACGTCAGACTTGAAGTGTAGGGTTTGGGGTTGGGTGATAGAGCTATTTCTCCAGCAAAGACACTGGGCAAACCTCTTCCTCTGGGTCTTTCGGGGCCCCCAGGTAAGGGGCTGCAAGGTGGTCTCCCTGTGAGAGGGTGGGGCTCTGCCCTCTGTCAGGCCCTTCCTGGCCCTCTGAGCACAGGAGAGGCCCTGGCTCCACCTGTGTCTTGCTGCCCTAACTTCCTCCCACCCCTAGGTGCTAGCCTGGGGCAGAAGGAGGGTGGGGTGGGGTGGGGGTGGGGGCTGCCCCTATTCTGGGCCTGGTGCTGTCCCTGAAGTCAGGGGTCAGCCTCACATTGAGCTCTCTGGGAAAGTACCCGGATCATAAGCATGAGCTCCAGCCCGTCTGCTTGAGTGAACCTCGCTGATCCTGCCTGCAGGGGCACGGGCCTGGGGGCTGCCAGCCATCCTCACTGTCTGTGGGGTGTTTTGGGTTGCAGGTTCCATGTCCTGCAGCAGGAGGGCCCTCCCTGTGCCACCTCCTCTGCCCAGCCTCTTAGGGACATTGCCTGGGATGCTCTGGCAGGAGTGGGGGCTGGAGTGTGCTTCCAGCCCATAGCTGGCCCTGGGCATAAAGGCATCTGCTGTGGCATTGCAGCCAAGGCCAGGCTGTGCTCTGTGCTCGTGTCAGGGAGCCCTTGGCAGTGGACACCCCACAGGTGGCTTTTTATTCCCTCCTGCTGCTGAGTGTCATGCATGGGACTGAGGACCTCCACGCCTTCCCTGCCTCAGCCTCTTTGAAGAGTCATGTCCTGTGGCTGGTACAACAAGAGCCATGCTCCCCAGGGTGGTTCTGGAACGTGGGCCCCGCACACAGGCTGTGTGGTCCGCCCGCACCCTTGCTGCCTGCCACCCGGGCACCCGGGACTTGAGCCCAGACCCCGGCCACCCAGCTGTCTGTGGGAATATTAGGAGAAGATGCCACTAAAGCTGGCAGGTCCTGGAGTTCCAGCCAGGATGGGGACATGGGTGGGGGAAGAAATGCTGCCCCTCAGAGCCCCCTCAGAGCCTGGGCCAGGGCCAAGTGGGGTGATTGGGACCCACCTGGAGGGGTCCTGATGTGGTGTGTGGATGAGTGGAAGCTGCGGGTGCAGATGGCCAGTGGGGCGCACACTCATTGGGCCTGCATCTGTTGGCCACGGGGGCTCTTTGGGACAAGCATAGAATGCCCCAGAAGTAAACTTGGCCCAAGTTTGTGATGCTCCTGGGTATGAAAGAAACCAGTGTTTCCCAAGTGCCTGCTGTGCTGGGGCGGGTGCGCATGCGTGCATGCAGGCATGGACAGGAGGGGTGGGGAAGGCCTGTGACATTTCCTCTCATGGTTTCCACAAACCCAGGTATCACCCCGGGTTGGAGGTAAAGTCGAGCTACCCAGCTCCACTGTATCCGAGCCCGGGGTTGGCCTCTGCTGCTTCTGGACTCAGTGACCCCCAGGCTTGTCAGGGAACTTCTGAGCCTTGGTTTCCCTATGTAGTGAGATGGAGGTAATCACGTCTTATAAGGTTGTTTCAGAGGTTAAATGAGCTGGTGGCTGTGCGGGAAAGAGCTCTGCCTCTGGCAGGGAGGAACTGTTGTGAACCTAGTGACAAGTGTGGCACTATTAGTCGTTTCCTTGTCTGTCCCCACCCCAGGGTCTTGGGCGGAGACCAGGCGTTCCTCTGGCCATTTCCTCCCAGCTCCCACCTTGCACTGGCTTGCGGGTGCTGAGGTCACGTTTGCTGGGTGAAAGGGTGCAGGCCAGATGTGAGCCAGCCTGGCAGAGGGGATTTTGGTCAGTGATGTTGCCTGCAATGTTCACTGCAGTTGGCTTAGGCTGGCCTTGCACCTGAGAACCTGGGTTGTCTCTTCAGGCAACCAGGGAAGGCTCCTTGGAGCAGCATTATCTCCTCAACTCCCCAACTCCAGCTTCCCCACCCCCAGAGTCAGCATCTGGGGACAGCTACAGCACATCCAGGGCTCCCAAGGCAGCTGGCAGAGCCGATGAGGAGACCCCAGCACCCATCCGACGGCTGCAGCTCTTCCTGACGTGTGCCGCCTGCCTGGCCCGGGTGGATCTGGTGCCCAGGCGGACCCCAGGGTACAATGAGAGCCGTTCTCAGAGCCAGGAAGAGCCTGTGGGGCAGTCCTGTTGGCTCCCATGTGCAACCGCTGGGATATTGTTTGGGGAGTGCTGGCATCAGGCTGGGGCTCTCCCCTTCTGGCCCTGCCCTCTGGGATAAGTGAGCCCCCAAGGGCATTTCTGGGTTCCTCTGTGCACACGCCCTGGGGCTGCCCTGCTGAAGAAGGTAGACTTGTCCTCCTGTCCTGGGTGCCTGGGATTCAGGAGTGTGAATTGGGCTGTATCAAGACATGCTGGGCAGTACTGTGAGGTGAGGGCAGAGGGTACAGGTGTCCCAGGAGGAGCCTTCCTGGAGGGGGGATAATGGTCTAGCGTGTCCTGAAGTGGGAGTAGGGAGCAGCAGAGTGAGGTACCAGAGACTGGGAGAGTCAGGTAGCAGCGTCCACTGTGCCTTGGACACAGGTGGCTGACAGTGTCTCCCTGGGCTGGCTTTGCACCTCCTCTGAGGTCGCAGTTGTGTGTGTCCCTTGAGAACTTGGGCAGGAGCACCTGATTGGCCCAGCTTGGGTCATGCCCTAGACCCAGCAGTGCAGGAGACCGAGAAAGTAAGTTTGGGGAAGCTGGCCTCTCCCCCAGGTTGAAGGGTGGCAAGGGTTCCTGGGGAGGCTGCCGGGGGGCCTGCGAGCATGTCCAGTGCTTGGGGTGGTGTGGGCTTTGCTCTTCTGGGCTTACTTGGCCATGGGAAGCTCGTTGTGTGGAAGACGGTCATTGAGCTGTGCCCGCATCATCCATGGAGTCTGCCCTGTGAGTCCTTCCCATCCCTCCAGGCTCACAGCCTGCCTCCCTGCTCCAGCCCCCTGGCTGAGGCCCTTTGCCCCGTGCTCTTCCCAGACACAGTTCTGTGGAACGTGATCTTCTTGGGGAGGCCGTCTCTCACATTATTTTTGGCACCCCCACTTTCTTCCTCATCAAAGCAAGTTGTTTGGTGTCTTTCTGTCCCACTATAGTATAAACCCCGTGTGGACAGAGGCCCTGTCCGCTAGGCCTGCACTATCTCTGCGGAGCCCGGCCAAAGCAGGGGCCAGACAAATCTTTTGTTAAAAAAATAGTGTGGCCGGGCAAGGTGGCTCACACCTGTAATCCCAATACTTTGGGAAGCTGAAGCTGGAGAATCACTTGAGCCCAGGAGTTTGAGACCAGCCTAGGCAAGATAAGGAGACCCCATCTCTACACAGAATTAGCTGGGCTGGTGGTGCATGCCTGTAGTCCTAGCTGCTTGGGAGACTGAGGTGGGAGGATCGCTTGAGCTTGAGAGGTGGTTGCATTGAGAGCCACAGTCGCAGTACTGGACGATAGAGCAAGACCCTGTCTAAAAAAAAGAACAATTTTATGAAACCAGGCTGTCATCATCCAGCAGAGAGGATCTAAGTGCTCAGAGAGTCTAGGGAATTTGCCCAAGGTCCCACAGCAGGGCCCAGGTCTGAGTCTTAGCTGCTGCTCAGCGAGGAGGAAGGAGTGCACATCCTTGGGGACAGGCAGGGAGGCAGAGAGCCCCAGAGAGGCGGGTCCCTGGCCAGCTGTAGCGGTCGGTTGTGTACCAGCAGTGTCCAGAGCTCAGGCAGGCGGGGGGTGGGGAGGGCACGGCAGCTGACGCAGGCTGGGGAGCTTCTGGTGCCAGGCGCTCAGTGCCACGTGCCCAGCCTGTGAGGTGCTTCCCAGCCTGGTGCCAGCAGCCCCAGACTGGGCTGTGGCCTATCAATGAGCTCATGCCAGGAGGGGTTAGGCCCCAGCCGCTCACCTGGGTCAGGCTTCCCCTCCCTGCAAGGCCTTTCCCTCCACAGAGCCGTCGCTGCCCTCCCTGCCTGTGCTCCCACAGCCTCCCTGAGTGCCCAGCCCTGACTGGCGGGGCCTCTGCCAGCCTTCCCTGGGCCACCCTCCTAAGAGGTGAGGGGCCTCCTTGGGGCAGTCCCCTCTGTCCACACCCCCACCTTCTCTGACTTGGCTAGAGGGGAATTTTCCTGTGACTCACTGTGCTGGCACTTCCTGTGGTCACCAGGGCAGGGGTTGGGGGACCCGGCGGGCTGCTCTGTGGTGTGTAGGGTCACTGGGGGATGGTGGCCCGCCCCCTGATGGGCTGTGATTCCCAAAGGCAGGCTGCAGACCATATTTGGGAAATGCTCGTCTTGCTGGCAGCCTAGGATGGGGGCCCTGAGCCCGGGTGGGCTGCAGGACAGCCTCCGCTCCTCCCACTTCTCTGTGGGGCTCTGGCCCCTCGACCGGCTGCAGCGCCTGTCCCGTCTTGCCTGAGACTGGGACACAGTCCACTGATTTCTTGTGTATTTTTTCAGCCCAAAGCAAGAAACACTCATTCCTGAAAAACAGGAAGAGAAAGTGTCCCCATTGTCTCACACATCTCAATCCTGTTCTCATCCTCTTTTGTCTTTACGTTTCACAGGACGTTTTCTTGAGGCATGTTTTTGACTTGAGTACCTTTTTCATTTCTGTGATTGTGGTGTGGACAGTGCTGCTGTGATCTGGGGCCTCTGCCCTTGTGCCCACCTTGGCTCCAATGTGATTCCACCTGGGCCTGCCCTCCCGAGCTGCCCCTGGCACCTCCCATGGGCCTTGGTCCTCCTGGCTCCCCACACTCCAGCGTCTGGCCCTTTTAGGGGCCGGAGGCTCCAAGCTGCTCTGGAGAAATGGGCTCCCAGCTGATGACACCCACCCGGGGCAAATGAATAGTGGGGTCTGAACGTCTGCTTCTGGGGCCTGGGGCACTCACTGCCTGCCCGGGCTGCTGTCTGGTGTGCCATCACCCTCTTCCCCCCATGCCTGCCAGGGAGGCGGAGCTCAGAGGGGCGCTGTCCAGCCCCAGCTGGTGTAGGGGAGGAGGGTGGGCCCTCGGGACTTGGAAGAGGCCTCACCCCTCTCCTCTGCCCCAAGGCCCAGGCTCCTGCTTCCTGTTTCTGCCCAAGGGGGCGTGGCCCTTCCTTGTTTCACTCCTTACAGATGGAGTTCAGAAAATGGGGCTTGGACCCAAGTGGGGATGGTCACACAGCTACTGGCTGGCCAGAACCCAGGTCCCATTTCCGAGTCAGAGTCTACACCATCCTGCACATCTTAGATTCCAGGAGACTTCGAGGAGGGTCCTTGCAGGGCAGCCCACAGCTGAGGCCAGGCTGGTGGGGTGGCTGGAACCCAGTGCGGGTCACCGCCCAGCTGGCCTGGCACTGTCCTCAGACCTGGCTTCCCTGTGTGTGAAGTCGGGCCCCTGTGGAATCCATGCAGCCCTCTGCTACCCTAGGAGGGGCCGCGGCCCTGGCCTTGTCTCATCCTGTGCCTTCGTCACACCTATGTTTTACTGGAACCAACCATACTCTCCAGCTGGGGACCCCCTGTCCCTGGGCCCAGCCTGCGCCTGGCACCTGGATGGGGCAGCAGGGGCAAGGATGCACAAGTGTGGCAGGAAACTGCGAGGCCTCCCTGCTTAGGCTCTTGTGTCCCAGCGAGGCTCCGAGCCTGCCCTTGCCATGGTCCTCCTGCTTCTGATCCCACAGCCTCCTCCAAGTCCCTCTTGGGCTGCTTGGCTCCTGTGCCACATGGAGCATGTGCCCTGCCCTGGGAGAGTTTGCTGAGGGTGATGGGGCTGGACAGGGAGGGTGCGCCTCCTGTTTCCCTCCCAGCCTTCTGGAAGGTGTTTGAGGTTTCTAAATTATTGACTTTTTGGTAGATTTTGAGTAGATGGACTTTGTTAAGGAAGTTCTCTCTCATTTTTGTTCAGTTTTTATTCTAAGAAGTCCTTTTTGTTAGATTATTTTCTTTTGTCTCGAGAGAACCATTGCAATTTCTCTTCACCTGGCGGCACTGTTGTTATTAACCGCTGCTCTCCCTGTTAGTCCAGGTAGCAGAGTGGCCTTGGGTGGGACTTTTAGGGGTATTTTGAGGGTCATCCCTGGAGTTTTGGTGCTGGCAGTGGTCGAGGATTTTGCGGTGCTATACAGGTGAACTTGAAAGGCCAGGATCAGCTGGGCCTTTTTGCTGGGAAAGGTGGGGACAGTGGAGTCAAAGACACAGTGATCTCACCAAACTCCACCAAGTTCCTTTCCCACTATCAAAGCCGGCTGCTTCCCCAGAGTGGGGCGGGAGCTGGGGAGCCCCCTGACGCCCCATGCACATCTCACACCTGTGTCCTCTCTCCCTAGAACGTACTGGCCAAAGCCCTCTATGACAACGTGGCCGAGTCCCCGGATGAGCTCTCCTTTCGCAAGGGTGACATCATGACGGTGCTGGAGCAGGACACGCAGGGCCTGGACGGCTGGTGGCTCTGCTCGCTGCACGGGCGCCAGGGCATTGTGCCCGGGAACCGCCTCAAGATCTTAGTGGGCATGTACAATAAGAAGCCAGCAGGGCCTGGCCCAGGTCCTCCCGCTGCCCCTGCCCAGATCCAGCCCGGCCTCCCACAAAGTCTCCATGCCCCAGTGCCTCCGACCTCCCAGTACACGCCCATGCTCCCCGCCACCTACCAGCCCCAGCCTGACAGCATCTACCTGGTGCCCACCCCAAGCAAGACTCAGCAAGGCCTCTACCAAGGCCCTGGCCCCAGCCCCCAGTTCCAGTCGCCCCCAGCCAAGCAGACATCTACCTTCTCGAAGCAGACGCCCCATCACCCATTTCCCAGTCCGGCCACAGACCTGTACCAGGTGCCTCCAGGGCCTGGAGGCCCTGCCCAGGACATTTACCAGGTGCCACCTTCTGCTGGGATGGGGCATGACATCTACCAGGTTCCCCCGTCCATGGACACCCGTAGCTGGGAGGGCACAAAGCCCCCAGCAAAGGTAAGGCCATCCTGGCTCAGTCATGCAGCCCTCACAGGTGTAGCTGAGGCCCTGGTTTCTGGGTGCAGGTCAAGGTGGGAGGTGAATGTTTGGGGAGTGTTCATTTGTCTGGGGAAGGTGGATGTGACCGGGCCCAGAGGGGAGACGCCCTGCTGGCCTCTGTCATGCTGACTGAAGCAGCTGTCTCTCCACAGGGAGCAGCCTGTTGAGGCGTTCCAGGGGCAGGTGGAGCTTGGCACATGGGGTCAGCAGTCGCTGGGTCCCCTCGGGGGAGAGCCTATCCGCCTCATGCCTGGCTGCCCTGTGCCCTCTGGGTTTACATATCAGCCTCTGGATAGGGTTCTGGCACATCTTCTGGCTGCCCCTGCCTCTGTGGACCAACCCCTTTCCACTTCTGGGGCTTGCTAGGAGCCAGTGGGTGTTTATGGTAATCTGGATGTGACTCCTGGACCTGGGGAGCACGCTGCCTCTGAGATTGCTAGAGGAGGGCTGCTCTGAGAGCCTCCTGGGCTCTTGCTGTGAGATGCCGGGCCTGGGAACAAGACCTCTGGCTTCTAGGCCCTAAGCCCGCTCCCCGAGTCCACAGGCCCCTGAGTCCCAAGCTCACCTGCCTGTGGGAAGGAGGCGGCTGGAGAGGGTGGCGAGGTCCGCTGGCTGTGGCAGGAGCAACCTTTTCTCACCTTTGACTGGCCGTTCCACTGTGCCAAAGCCTCCTCAAGAGCTGGGGTGTGGACCTGGAAGCGGAGGAGACGTCCCAGGTCTCTTGTCTTCGCCTGCCTGCTACTTCTTACAGCACACCAGGAGGACCTGAGAAACCCAGCCATCTGAGCACTCCCGAGGGACATAGCAGCCCCGGCTCTGTGGGGTCAGCTTTCCAGGACCCAGCCCAAGCCTTGTGTTTTTGCCATGTCCCGTCTAGAGCCACCTGTGTCTGGAGAGACAGTGGCCAAGCGGACACTCAGCCCAGAGCAGAGGTAGAGACCTCATTGGTGCCAGCTGGGCATTGAGTCAGCAGGAAGTCATCCCCACCCGCGCCCATGGGTGGCCTGCACCCAGGAGACCTGGCAGGAGGTCATTGGCAGGTGGGACTCCATGGACGTGGGCCACCAAGCCTGGCCACTAGGGGAGCATGGGTCACTGGCTTCCGCTTCCTGCTCTACCTGCTCCTTCAACCATCTCTCCAGAGATGAGCCTGGCTGGTGCAGGGCTGCCTGGGTGAGGCTGCTCCAAAACTGGCTTTAGCAAGAGGAGCAGGGTCCTGTTATCCCCTGGGGAGGTGGCAGGTGGCAGTGCCCTGCAGGGGAGCCTTAGGCCATGGCCCACGCACACTCAGACCCCACAGATGCATACCTGCACCCCACCCGTGCAGACACGTGTGCGTGAACATGCCTGCACACGCCTCATGTTTACAAACACATGCACATAGCTGCATCCCAGCTCCCACAAATGGACACACGTATATGCCCACACATGCGCACATCACATGCATGAACACATGCACACCCCACCCCACATGTACAAACACACGTGTACGCCCACATATGCAAAGCATGTCCACCCATCAGTATCCTACAAACATGTACAAATGCATGTGCATATGTACACACAGACACAATCCACACTTCACATGTCCGAGGCCAGTCACAGCCCCTCCTCCCCTCCTTCACCTTTGCAGTGAAGCTTGTCAGTGAAGCTTGTCCTGGTGTGGGTGGGAGGCTGGCGCAGGCAGCGGAAGCCCTGTGGGATGAGCAGCAGCAGCGAGAACCCCCGGACCTAGCCTGGCCTCCAGCCTGTGTTTAGGTTGTTCTGTTTCCTTCTCCGGCACGGGGGCCTGCTCTCATTTTTGTCAGGGGCTCAACCAGCTGGGTCCTTCTCTGCCCAGGCCCACTTCTAGAGCTGCCCAGTCCTGTGCCCCAAGGCCTGGACCTGGCTGGTGGCCCACAAAGAAGAGCCCTTCGTCCTGGGCCCGGTTGCTCTCCCCCGGGAAACCTCCTTCAGTCTTGATTGTGTCTGCTTGTATTTTATGATCACAAAAGCAATGCTTATTTGCTGTAGAAAATACATAATGTATGAAGAAGTCTTGAGATGAAATTTTCTAATCAAGAGGTAATCACTGGGAAATTCTGGCATATTTTGTCTGGCAGCTTCCCTGTGTTTCACAGATTTGTACATGTGGTTTTGCATTAGATACCAAAAGTATTTTGTTATCCAGGCGAGGTGGCTCACACCTGTAATCCCAGCACTTTAGGAGTCTGAGATGGGCAGATCACGAGCTCAGGAGTTCAAGACCAGCCTGGCCAGCATGGTGAAACCCCGTCTGTGCTAATAATACAAAATGGGCGACACCCATTTTGCAGAAGGGGGAGGCCAGCCACTGAGCTGTAGGGCGGGGGCCCACCTTATCCCCTTCCCCTGATGCCTGCCTCTTGTGCCCTGACTGGGAGGCAGGGATGTGTTCCTGAGTTCACTGGTTTCCCCGGCTTGATGCCTCATCCTGGGGGAAGAGAGAGGCAGCAGGACACAGCCCTGGCCTTGGCAGGCCCCGCGCTGCCTGGCTCTGTGCGTGCACCTGGCAGTGGGCCTGTGCTGTGTTTTCTCTGCATTGTATGAGGTGTGTGAGTGTCAGAGACCGTGTGGGTCTTTTGTCAGGGTCTGTGTCTCTGTCCCCTCCTCCTGGGCTCTGGCTGTGTTCCCACAACCCCCGGGAGCTCCAGGGCCTGCCAGTGGGGTCTCAGGTGTGCTACAGGGTGGCCTGTGATTAGCAGCTGGGCTCAGTCATTCCCCTACCCCCCTGGTGGCTGACTTGCTCTGTTTTTCTAACAGAAACATTTGGTCACTGTGGCTGCCTACTGCCACCCAACTCAGCTGCAGGAGTGACAGGCGGCCATTTGCCTGGGGAAGCCTGGTCCAGCTGCACCCCTGAGCCTCATCTCCTGAGGGTGGGATGGAGGGTGCTCACTCCTCCTGCTGATGCTGGGTCCTGGCTGAGCCTTGGAGCTGGGTGCCCACCTGCCATTAGGAGACTGGGAGGCCTAGAGAAGCCTCGGGCCCTGCCTCGAGGCCCAGCCAACCTGCCACGTCCCTCCGCCCCGCCTGCCCCACTGTTGGCAGGTCCCTGAATCTAAAAATAGCTCTGGAGGAGACTCAAGTCTGGGGCGCGTGGAGAGAGATGAGTCTGGAGAGGCGGCCGCCAAATCCACTCCCAGACGCGCTGGAGCGGGGCGGGGACACCCCAAGGAGGCCCCCAGCCTGCCGGGCTCTGCTGCCAGGCACACTGGAGGCCCAGTGGACCCAGCGTTAACTGCCCAGCTCTGCTGCGCCGCAAGAGGCTCTGCCAGGCCTGGAGCTGTCGGGCACCTCCGCTACCCCCATGCCCAGTGTACCCTTATAGCAACCTCAACCAGCAGAGTTGGCTACCTGCCTGCATTGGGAAGGCCTTGTGGGATTCAGGGGCACTGGTCCCAAGGGAGGGACTACTTTGGCGCTGCTGCCCCCAGGGATGTGCGGGGAGGCCCCGAGTCAACCCTGTCTCAGACGTCCCCTTTGATGAGAGAACAAAAGGCCTTTCTTTGGAGAGAGCTGAACAGGGAGCCTGGTGCTGGAGTTGTGTAGGTGAGGTGTGCCCAGGGGCTAGAGAATCTCACCAGGGAGGCCTCGTCCTCCCCAAGGCAAGGAGGCCTTCAGGAAAGAAGGCTGCCTGGCATCACCCCCACCCCCTTCAGGCTGGTGCTGGTGAGGGGCAGCGTGGCCCTGGGCTTGCCCCTGTGCTGCCTGCCTCTGCACTGTTCGGGCCTTGGCCTCTCCGGGCTCTGGGCCAGGGTAAGAGCACCTGGGCATGGGAGGGCCGGCCTTGGACCTGCCTCCCCTGCTGAGCCTCCTCATTTCAGGTCACCAGGGGTCTTACTTGCTGCAGGCAGCTCCCCGGGACAGGTGTGGCAGGGAGGGGGCCTTGGTTCCAGCTGCTGCACTGCCCCCAGCACATACCCGACCTGCCCCTCTGGCCCTGTCCTCCAGAGTCTCCACACGCTGTGCTATGGGGGAAGGGGGCTGGAGGGGCTGTGGCTCTGTCTGGTCCTGGGCTGGGTGCAGTCCCCTGCTGGTCCAACCTTTCTGGGGAGGCTACAGCTGGGTGGTGTGGACAGCAGGCTCCGAGGCCTCCGCTGTGGCCTTTTATCCTGCAGGGCTGGGAGCCCCAGTAATGAGGGTCCTTGCCTGTGGGTAGTGCCCTCCAGAGCCAGGGTCCCAGCCCCTTACCTTGCTGGTGTCATCCCCTCCCCTCCACGTCATCAGCTCACACCCATGCTCCGCTGTGGAGCCTTCCGGGTCAACCGGCTGTAGAGACATTGGTGTCCTGGCCCAGGACCAGGCAGCTCTGAATAAAACCCAGGGGTCTTGCTGTACCCGGTACTGCTTCCACTGGAGGAAGGTCAGCGGATGCATAGGGAGTGAGAACCTGTGCCTTCGAGAGCCCCGTCCCTACCATCTGGTATGCCCTGCCCACCTCCCAAAAGGACGAGGCTCCCAGGTGTGAGTGAGTGGAGCCTCCCTGAGGACCCAAGGGATCCTGAGGGCAGGTTCAAGGGCAGCTGTGAAGTTGGCTTTCTGTCCCCAGGTGGTGGTGCCCACTCGTGTGGGGCAGGGCTATGTATATGAGACCGCACAGCCAGAGCAGGACGAGTATGACATCCCGAGACACCTGCTGGCCCCGGGGCCCCAGGACATCTACGACGTGCCCCCCGTTCGGGGGCTGCTTCCCAACCAGTATGGCCAGGAGGTAGGTGTGGGGTGTGCGGCTGGTGGAGAGCCGGGTGGCAAGTCTGTGCCTCTGCTCGGCCCTGGGCAGGGAACTGCGTCTTCTCAGCCCTAGCCAGGCCTGGAGGCCGTGCTGCAGGCTTTCCCCCTTTTCCATTCCTCCAAGTGGCCCTAGCACCGTTAACCCTGCACTGTTTCTGCCCCCAGGTATATGACACACCCCCCATGGTCATCAAGGGTCCCAATGGCCGAGCCCCATTGCTGGAGGTGTACGACGTGCCCCCCAG